CTTTTATTTATTTAAGATTTATTATTTAAGATTTATTTATTTTATTCTCCATATATGAGTGTTTTGTCTGCATATATGTCTGTATGCCACTTGCATGCCTGGGTCATAGAGGACAATGGCTACCTAGAACTAGAGTTAAAGATGGTTATGAGCTTCCATGTCATGGCTGGGAATCTAACCCAGGTCATTTACAAGAGTAAACATACTCTGACCCACTGAGCTATCTCTCCAGCTTGTATCCCGGAGCTTTTATAAACACAGAGCATCACAGTACAGCTACTGTAGAAGTATATTGGTGGGAGAATCAGATGTTTGTCTCTGGCAATTGGGACGAGTCTATACCTTTACTGGATCAAGCTTTTCAAGAGCAAAAATCATGTAAATATAAAATGTGTGATTTATGGTATCATATTCATGGGAATGTGATAGGGTGGTCTTATTCACTAACTTCTGCATTATTTCTATACATGGAGGCATGCATTAATTTGTATATGTGGGATACGGTAGTGAGCTTGACAATACAATTGGGCACCCTTTTTCTCACAAGAATCTGAGTCAGTGAAGCAGTTTTCTATGTCTTTATCATGAAGCTAATTTTAAAGTACTGAATTGTATTAATTTGACAAAATAATGACACTGGTAACCAGGACAAATAACTAACATAGGCACCAAATGTAAGACTGTGGAGTGGAACTGTAAACACTGTCTGATGCTGATGACCTCTGATAACACTGCAGTCTTGGTTTCCACTGCATGGGAAGGAATCTCTTTTAAAACAGAAATTCCAAAACTGGATCACTATATGGTCATCTTTGGCAAGTTCAAGTTTTTTCCAGTGTGTTGAAAATAGTGTTTGTCTTAGTCGCATGTTCTCTCTTCTTGGAGGCTCCTAGCTCCACATCTTCAGATGTGAGTATGTAGCCTGCAGTAACTACAGACACCAGAGCAAAAGGGGACCATGGCCAGGATGGGGTGCGGCACAGAGAATTAGAGAGGAGAAGGGCAGGGTACATACAAGTGATCTCTTCAGAGAAACGGGCGAAGATTGAGTCCTTAGCAGGGAGGAGGGAAGTAAATATAGAAGAAGGTGGGAGGAAGGTACAGCTGAGTAGCAGGACACAAGTGATCTAATCAGGAAAATGAGAAAATGGG